CAAAAACAGTTTAGTTACTAGAAAAATTGTAAGGCAATGACAATTTAATTACAGTTTTAGTTTGATCTTATTTTTGTGTTTGTTATTTTGATGGGAAAAACATGTCATTTTGTCAATTATTTTGTAGTTGAAGTGCATATCTTTGTGTGTGTTTAGTAGTATTTGGACTTTTTTTCGACAGCCACTGTGCATTTTACGATTAGGATTGCGGCAGAGCATTTTCATTATGGTGAGAAAATTTGCTTTTTATTAATTTTCCCTTTAAATCCTACAGATATAACACTTTAGAATTAAAACAAAAAACAACAAACACCTCATTTTTTTTAACTTTGTTTAATCCAACATGAGTACTATCATTATTGGACATTACGACTAAACTTAGTATAGTTTTAAAGTTTGAATACCGCTAAGACCGAGGGGATGTTGAACTTTTCAATTAACCCTGAGAACAGAGTTAATCAAACAGGGTATGCAAGTTATTTTGGTGTTTTCATTTCTACCGAGAAAATTGTTGAACACTCCAATTAGAATGAATTCGTACATGTACGTTTTTGGTACACGTTGAACACTTTTCGTACACTGAACTCCAGGTAAAATGTGAATTGTTTTATTGAGTTTAGTCTAAATATCAAGTGTGAAAATCACTTAAATACTATAATTGCCTAGCCCTTGACATGTTTTTCTTTTTTCGTATAGGAAAAGGGAAACGACAATGATCAAAATGGTGATGGAGAGGAACAAAATATTGGCATGTATCGAACATATTACCGGTTTAAGAACGATGAAGTGTTCCGTCAACAAATGATTCATACTTTAATACTTGGCTGGTCATTTATAGGCTCGGTAATAGGCCTTTCTCAAATTATATGCATACTTTACATTCTATCACCAGAGAGAGGCTAACAGGGCATGAATGTAAACAAATAATGTCTGACCTGATAAGCCCTAGTGTGTTTAACTTGCTCTTGCTGGGGAAATCTCATGTTTATTCCACTATGTTATTCCAATTCTAGATATGATTATACCGTTAATTTTCATAAAATACCTAAGGATGTGAGTTAAATAAAGGAAAGGATTGTGAAAATAAGATGGATGAAAGAACATTTCAAGGTAAAATACCATTTTTCTTTTCTTTTCTTTTTAAACCAAGCTACTTAAGATGTATTTCTGCTTACATTAATTACTCTGATTTCTCATAGATTTAAATGTTTCATTAAATTATAAACATAATTATATGTTTTGTTCATAATTTTCATTTAAAATATCACACTTATGATGATAACATTTAAAACATAATTGCTTCAGAATCTTAATCAATACCGTTTTTATACTAAAAAGCAATAACGGTTATTTTATGTACTATTTCAGATAAATATTTTGCAATAGTTGCTCGTTTTGAAGCATTTCACACAATAAGAATAACAATCATGGACATAAATTCTTATATGTCTGAAGAGAATAGATGTACCTGTAGATGGTTCGACTAGAGTAATAATGAGCAGACCAGTAAGATGAACACTAAAGAAGAAGATTTCATACCAGATGAAAGGTATACACAAGACTTAATTTTCATTTTTTACACATAAACAAAGTTCAGTCCCTGTAAAAAATATATGTGCAATTAAAATATAAATATTATTATTATAAGATATATTCTAGAAATGTCATCATTCTTGTTTCAACTTCTAAATAAGAGGTATATATTTTTCAGGAAATCCATTGGTAACAGTCATGAACACAAATTGACAACTGGTATTTGAATCACCTTAAATTGTAATATCTCTTCATGGCAGTGGCATAACAGATGAAAAAGAAACTATCAAACAGTTCAAAGAAGAATTACAGAAAACTTAAGAAGAAATAAAAACAGTGATATTAAACATTTGATACAAACAAATTTTCAAATGTTGACAGTTGTATATTTTGTAATGTTAATGATTTCCAACAAAATTTACTATAATTATATTCATTACAGTTTTCAATGTATAAAACATCAGCAAAAACATTAAGAGGGTTTATTATGATGCAAGCAAAACAATCAGCTTGACTGATGAAATGTTTTTAAGCATATTTTAAAGGACCATTTGTTCAGTCTTTTGCGCCTTGAATTTAAATAAAAACTTAAAAAGAAATCAATGCATTACTTTGTTTTTAACATTGTGCTTTGTTACATATATGGTACAGCTGCAGGGAATATGTCAACATGTTAATTACGTTTAATATGTTGTCCTCTTATTGCATTATATTTTTGAGAAAATATTTCTTGGAATGTTAAAAGAAGTGCTCAAAACTTGATTCTGCCTTTCCTAATACCCTCCGACTGCCATGTCCTGTACAGGTTTTCTGCAAATGTTCAGTACCCTAAGTACATGGAATATTTGGGGTTGGTAAGTCCAGGTAACATCCATTGGAAGTGCCGTGTTCCCCAATGATTTGTTATATACCAGCCAGTTGAGGGTTCCAACAATATGACCACATAATCAAGTCGTACCAACTGGACAATGCAATGATCTAATGATACTTCAGCTTCGTCTTAATATTTGACTGATATTTGCAATTAAATGATTGTATTTCGTTATATACTAAATATTTTATACTGTAATAAATAATATAGTTGATAATATATAAGTTTTACGTTCCTCACTTAGCATGACATGTATTTTTATATTGCTGTAAACAACATCATGTGTTATGATACTGAAAATCCATTGAAATGTATAAGACAGGTGTGTCATGTTTAACAAAATATTATTTTGATTTGATAAGGCTGTCTGTAAATCCAGAATGTTTTACTTTTAAATACAAAGTGAATAAAACTTTTTAAAACTTTTTTTATTTCAATAGCTAAATTTAGGGGAAGTATGGTACAGAATTCAGCATCCAACTGTTTACATTTATTATCAGTTAATTGCTTTATACACTCTTGACCAACATGTGTTTAGGTTAGCAATAAAATACTGATAACACAGAAAATGTCTATTTAAAATACAAAGAGTTAACCTGTTATTTATACTGACAAAGAATATTAGAGATTACTTGGAATTATCATAAACTTTAATTGACTTATCAGGTCTTGTATATCCTTCACTCTGTATAGTGTAAATTAAATCCTTTGTTGATTTATTTATAATATTAAATATAGTTCTCAACAAATATGTAGCAAACAGAACATTATCAAGATCTCTGACACTGTAGAAAAATCTTTCGGCCATATATTCGTGATATGTTTACATAGAGCAGATACCGCAGCTTGCCCTGTTAGCCTCCTTCTGAAAAATCTATGAATATGTATGAGGTAATATTAAGAAGGGTCTATATAATTTTATATTATCTAATTACATGCAATCATTTGCCGCTTTGTCCGTTTATCTATGTTACCTTGTTTTTTTTTTGTTGTTTTTTTTTGTTTTTTTGTTGTTTTTTTTTGTGGGGGGGGATGCTTTGTTTTTTGGACAAACGAAAATGTCATTTGGAACTCTACTGCACAGATAAGCTGTGAATTTAAGCAGTTTTTTTCGGTTCACTGTTTTTCTTGTTTTTAATATGGTTGTAGGCATTTACCACAAGCTATATGATTGTTTGTTTGTTTGTTTGTTTGTTTGTTATGTTTGTTTGTTTGTTTGATACTCTTTTAATTTGTTCAATTCAAATAGGAAGCTTGTATATAATTATATTTCATAATCAACACAAAAAAATATTCTGATCGAAAGTATGGTATGTTTGGCATGTGGCACCAACAAGTTAACCCTTTATTAAAACTGTAAAAATATTCGATGTTCCAGGATATAAAACAAATTCATCATCCATTTTTATATGTTTTATGTTTTTGATGATGTAAGTATAGAGATAGTTCTCAAAGACATACATTGAACAATAAAAAAAACTTACACGTGGTCCTCAAATGTTTGCTATTTTGTGACCAGAAAAATTCTTCATATAAATTAGTTTCCCGTAAGTTCTTTTTAAATTTTCTATTTGGTATCATTTCTTTCGAAGTTTGGATTTTTATTTAGCGTAAAAACACTTATTAATAAGTGTTCATAAATTATGTTGTAAACAATTATGTAAAGGTTGGCTTTTTTGGTTTTTGAAAACCATGTTGTATAAATGTACTGTATGACAGAAATATTTGATATCTGTAACAAAGTAAGAATTATGCGTTTTTTACACTTTTACTATATTAAAAGAATATTGAGAATAACAAAATAATAAACATCGTTTTGCAGGGTTGGCATGTAGGTATGTCTGGGCCTGTATTTCCTGACTTGAGACAGATTATACAAGAGGGCCTTGCAATATCATCATGGATATTTACAATTGAACAATGTGGGTTAGTATGTCTTGATTCATTTAACATTAACAACACTATTTTAACATTTGTCCAATTATATAACCTTAACCGGCAAGTTGTTATATATTTTAAATTTTATTTGAACTAATTGCGCCATAATTTTCACACTTACTTATCAATACAAAGAACATAATTTTTCTAAGATATATAACTGTGCCATCCATTTTTCACATTTATTTCCCTTAACACTTAAAACAGGGCATTGTATGGTCGGCCTGTTCCTGCAAGTTATACTTATCTTAAATATCTTCAAATTTAATTCATTTATTTAAAGATGTCTTCAATATTTGGTAAATGAATAAATTTAATAACCTTCAAACTTTTAATGGAGAATGGGGTCAATTGGGTCAAGGTCACAAGTGTAAAAATAATTTTTAAACATTTTTGCTCATACATCCTTTATCTTTAAATATACTAGTATGTCTTTCGTGTGTAAAATTGAAATGCCTAGGGGCCCTTTTTCTTCGGCATAAGTTGGAAAGAACATAACTTGGATGGTCCAGTGTTTGGACTCACAATGTTACGGTCATCTGTGCTAATAAAAGATTGTTTACCTTTTTTCTTGTGCGGCCCTTGTTTTTTTTAAATATCTTATTTAAATGGAACGTACCAATCACGTTTACGTTATTTTTGTTTGGTGTTACGGCACACTAACAACGTTTAGGTAAGATGGCGCTGGGACAGGGAAGGTTATTTTGCAATTTATTACCAACGAGTCCTTAAATCGTGACATCTCTAGCATTTTTTTTGACCGTGTTATTTTGTTCGTTTCTTTTTATTCATAGATATCTCTGCGGTTCATTGATTGGTGGGATTTTGTATGATAAATTGAATAAAGTGCTGTTGCTTGCCGGGTCTTCGTTTGGCTTTGGTGTTTCCATATTACTTACACCGTATTGTTCATCACTAGCTGCCATGTTGTTCATAAAATGTGCTGGAGGATTTTTCTTCGGTAGTCTTGATACTGGTATGCTTTAAACATTTGTTGTTTATGTATATTTTACATACACTCAACTTATAGGTGTTTCAGTCGATAATATATATATATTTAAGGGTTTTTGTGCTTTCTGATTCAGATAGATTTGAAGTCAAACAAGCGACCGTCAATGTTCTGTAATAATAATTATGAGCAAAAATAGAAGACAAAACAATCTTTACATTTATATTTTCAAAATGTTACCTTATCTGCATTTCCGTAATATATTTGTATACCGAAAACAAATCTTCATAACTAAAGTAAATTGTACAATGTTGTTCATTTCTTCTTAGGTTGTTATGCTGATATTATCAGTGTTTGGGGAGAACATGCGGGTCCCTATCTGCAAGCCTTACATTTCGCGTTTGCTATTGGAACGTTACTGTCCCCACTTGCAACAGAGCCATTTCTAGCAGTGTCATTTACAACATGTGAGTCAAACAACATGACAAGCGATAATGTCACCGACCAATCTGTACACGAAACCACAAACGCCGCGATTTCTAATGTATCTACAACAGCCACATTGGTAAACAAAATTGCTACCTTAGACAATTCTACAATAGTACCGACTTGTAACTGTGAAACTTTAGAGGAAACAAATGTGCGTGATGCCTTCTTAATATCCTCATTTTTCTTGTTTTCGGCGACGGTTTGTTACATATATATTTATATCAAAATTCGAAGAAACAAAAGGAAAATGACAATATCTGAGACTAAAGTAAAAAGCAAAGACGACATGTGTCATAAAAGGAATGAAATGTCGATTCATCTTAAGATAATTGTCCTTTCTATACTATCGTTGTTAGTATCATTATCCTGTGCTGCAGAAGATAGTTTTTCAGGTTTCCTTGCGACATTTTAACTTGATTATCTTGACTGGGATACATCAACGGGCTCCTATGCTACAGCCGTGTTCAGGTCCACCTTCTGCGCTGGAAATTTCTGTGGGATCTTCATCGTGTCGTGCTGTGAAAAGTCTACATTACTGACAATATACCTGTGTTTATTATTATTATCATACATTGCCTTCACATTGACTTCTTTTTTCCAGTTATACCCCTTAATTTGGGTTTCTATTGCTTCTTTAGGATTTTCTGTTTCCATGATTTTACCAACCATTTTTAGTTGGACATCGGAGTACATAATTAACGTTTCTGGTAAAATTTCAGCCCTTTTTCTTTCATCTTCCTCTATATCTGGGATGTTTTTCTCTTTATTGATAGGCCATTTGATGGAAAATTTTCATTCATTGTGGTTTTCTTACGTCTTACTTATCACAGCATTGACCTGTAATATTTGCTTCGTCAGTTTAAGAGCAATCAAAAGATTTTATCTAAAGTAAAAACATCATTTCAAAGACGAAGAAATTAATGTTGATATTGAAATGTCTTTATTACAAATAAAATAACTTTTAATGAAGCAATATATGTTCGTGGTATAAACTTACAATGAAGTTTTAGGGCTGCGCCCTGTGAATGTTGCCTATGCCTTGTTCATCTCTGTTCTAATTGTTAAGGTTATATTTGAGGTCTTAAGTTGAAATTATAAATTCGTTTCCTTTTGTACCTGTCCTTCATTCATAAATGCAAATGAATATTTTGTCTTTGAATTCCTTAAACCTGTTTCTGCTTTTCCCTTTGTGGAATTCTAAAAAAACATTGTGCTCTATACTTTTCAGAAATGTTGTTTATAAATCTACAGAATCCACTTTATATTCGACCATCAAGTTACTCACTATTACAAATGTGCAAACAGAGGGCAACATAACTTTCAAAGTGTAAGAAAATGTAGGGGTTTTGACTTTTAACATTAAATGATGCTATAAAGATTTTTATCATATACCAGGGTTGTCCCAAAACTTTATGGACAACATCACTAAAATACAACGGACTTCTACAAACTTCACTGGTATTTTATACGCATAAGCTAAGCAACCATGCAACAATCAGCCTGCCATTATTTAATTAAATTAATCTGAACCAATTGTAAGACTTCCTCCAATGTCATACAATTCGTTATGTGAATATATGCCATCTACATAGAAGCTAGTTCGGACTTTATTTCAGAACCTACAGCTACAATTTCATCAAAATTGTAGTGCATTATCAGTACCATGTGTAATTTTGCATAATATAGGCGTTTTATGGTTCAAATATTTTGTTAAAGTTAAAGCCCTTTAATGATTGTTATTTTTAGTGTTTGTGCGGACTACTTTTCTTAAACCATTAATCATTTTTAATGAAATATACAGAATTGATCGGTAGCTCACTACTTGCGCATGCTACACGGGTTTTTCGGATGAATGATTTTCGGTTGAATTAAAAAGGTGTTAAAATAGGTTGTCCTGAGAACATCTTTTATACTTCCTATGCATTTTCAAAGAACCTTTACATGGTTGATCGGTAGCTCTAGAACTTGCGCATAATATAAGGGTTTTCCAGTTGAATGATATTTTGTTGAGTTAAAGCCCTTTAATCGCGATTTGTCCTGTTAATGAATTTTTGTCTCTTGCTACACAAACAGGTACAGCATGCAATTGGCTATCACGAGGCGACACATTTGATCACTGATTGCTCTTGTTCTATCTGAAATACATGAATTCAGTTTGCTTATCTAAAAATTCATTTTTTTACTTTTACTCGTACTGTCATTTTATACTTTTTATTGCGTCAAAATGTTGCATATGTAATTGTTAAAGAGTTTTTTATTATTAATTTGTTATTTGTGAATTGACTGAACTACATCTTATATATTAATTGTGAATGAGCCTAGTTTGTTATTTAAAGAGCTTCGTGGTCATAAAATATAAATAACTTTGGGCTGGGCTTTACGTCGCATCAACACAGTATAGCTCAAATAGCAACGTTCCGGATTTACTTATGGAGGAAAACCTCAGATGCCCGGCCTTGCAATTTCCTAGAATAGATGGGCACCCGAGTAGAACCGCCAATATTCCCTAGAAGCTATCTTGATAGTTTCCTTACATGAATTCAAAGTCTCTCTGTCGGGAATCGAACTCACAGCAGTGAGGAGCAAGTGATTTGAAGTCCACGACCTTAACACCGCGGCATCACTTAGAGCAGTGAAGTCTTGTTATACAACATACAGGTTCTTCACATGAACTCTTGAAATTCTAGTTGAATATTCTTAAAGTTGTGTGGTAGTTAATAGTTTTGATAGAAAAACGATCGGTACTATTTTAGTATAATCTACACTACAAGAATTGACTTTTTCCAGATATTTTAACATTTGTTTATTGTTTACTCCTATGTCGCATTAAACTATTAGTTATAATTCAATTTCAGAATAATTGTTTAGTGCTTTTGTATATTTTGTTGAGTATTTTTTTGTTAAGTTGGCATCAGTAGTGAAAAGAATATTCAAATTTAAATGTTTAAGTGCATTTAAATGCATTTTATAGATTAACTAATTTTGTGTTTAAATCTCAGACATATATTCATTTAATAGTAACATTTTTATTCACTTTTCCACAGATTTTTGTCAATGTGTTTGTATAAATTACTCCTAATGTTGTTGATATTGGTGTGGTTATTTCAAACGTATAACACCTTTGTGGATAGAAATACTTTCACTGAACTATTTCAAAATGTTGCTCAAATAGTTAATAGTGACTTAATTAATTTAAGTTACATGTTCGGGTCATTCATACGTATCAATAAATACATTACATAAATAAACACTATGCTCCTCTGTAGTTAAGAAGCATTCATTACAGAGATATCGTCAAATTTAAATTTTACTGAATATGGATTATTTGTGCACAAATAATACTAAATTAATTAATTTCTTTCTTAAAAAGCTCACATTTTGTCGACACTATGAATTTACAATTTGTTTAATATAGTGACGTGTGTTTATTATAACGTAATTAATCGTCATTGTGTGTTCTGAAAAGATGTTGGTTTTTTTGTTTGTTTTTTTTTTCAATTAGAAAGAGTCTGTATTGCAATTATCAGTTATTTCCAATACTAGTATTCACATTTGAGCAAATTATATCTATAAGACTTTAATTAGCATTTTTAGTTAAAAAAAGAGTTATTTGTTCGAATTTAAGAACGGATAAACTTTAAGGCATTGTAAGAATTGCTCTTGTTCTAACAAATTGCTTGCCCGATTAGCCAATTTACGAAGTGCTTCGGATAAGTAATAAAGGAGTCGCTGACTCGATCCTTGGGCAAGGAGTAATTTATCCGTGATATCTGATCTAGGACATAGAGTTTAATGTTTATATGTCTCTCACAGCTAATTCAGAAATCAAGTGGGATTAGAAGTCGGGTCACGTTTTGAGAAATTGGTTGTAACTAGTTTTCATTCAATATTCTTGAGCCTCATTTAAAATTTAAATCAATGTGTAGGAGGGAATCATTTCTTTCCTCTAACAGGAAATTAGAATCCGATTTAATGATTTTGACAGTGTTTAATATTTTTATCACGCATACAGGTCATTTGCATTCTAAACAATTCAAATTCAGAAAAAATTATATGACTGTTATTTTTTTATTGACATCCAAAGTAATTAATGCAATGCTCAACCTTTATTGAACAATATTCGGTGTAAATTGACAAAGTGCGTCTTACAGAAAAATAAACGCATTTATTGCTAACTAACCTAGGTCAAAGTTTAAAACAAAGTTTCTTTTTAACTATCATTTACCATTAAGCAATGGGGATCGGAAACCGTTAGCCAGTCGGTCTTTGGGTTTAATTAAAAAGTAAACACACCAATTGTTTCAAGATAATGTACAAGCATCCGTCCCACATCAAGATAACCATCTAATTATAAACTTACACATTGTTCACCGTAGGGAACGTGTTACAGTATAGCGTTTTTCGGTTACAGTATAGAATTTTCAAGATGGAGGAATATTAATGGGATGAGAGGTAGGTAATTTTTATTCAGGTCCATACTACTAGTAGTTTAGTTTCTAAAAGATGTTTTTGTGCTTTGCTTGTTAGGAACATAATCCGGTATCTAGTCATATATTTCTTCAGACCCTTCACCGCAGATTTATCCCTATATTGTCTCATAAATGTGCAGATTTGACGGTTTAAAAATTTGAATCGAGAGACCAACGCATTTTTCTCCCATTCCGACATTATTTAAGCATGCCTAGATAAAGTAAATCTACAAAACGTTAGTTTTTTGTGTTTAGAAACCTTTATAAAAGTAAATGACCAGTTGAACCTACTTTCCCGTTGGTAAAATGCGTTTAAAAAAATAAACAATGTTACAGTATAGAGCGAGGATAATTTTGAAGGGTTACAGCATAGACCTAGCGACTTTGATCCAATTTTGTTACAGTTTATACCCAGATTTCGGTTACAGTTTAGATACTTGCCAAATTTCAAACAAAGTTAGTGTATCCATTATTTTTATGAAATAACTCATACCTTTCTATTTAATACATTCTTGAAAGGTTGTATTACTTTTTTCTTCAGCAGAAAAGTTATAGTTTGTTATTTTTCTTACTTTAGGTCTCAGATTGAGACTTTTTGCAGAATAAGTAATGTCCTAAGCGACAACAACAGTAACTTTTATCGAATTGTATTGAGAGAAGAAAGATTATTGCTTGATTTCATTACACATTATAATAATGCCTATTAGTAATAAAATAGAGAAAAAAAGAATCCTTAACAGAAGTCCAACACTGAAAACATGAAAATGTTGCAGACTCAGTTTGATTAAACCTGTTCATGGACGGTAGTGGTAACTGCAAGCTACCGTCCACTCCTCCTAGCACCGGCTTCAGCAGAATTCACATTAAACATGAACTGGTACACTTTAGATTTTTTATCATCTGTGGATGTGTTCATATGACTGTTATCATGAAACCATCTCTGTGACACGTTATTGTCATTCTATGAAAAACGGCATATTACCCCCAGGTTAAAAATTGCGTGTGCCCTAAACGAGAATACAATGAGTGAAACTAAATAAAATGAAATTTTGAGAGGGGATCGGAGGCTTTGAAGCCTGC